AGAAGGTGGACAACAGTAATTCCTCCTGATAATGTAGAAGCCTTTCACTTCCAACAGGCTTGGGGTTTTTTGCTGCTTTTTTTTTTCTGGTTTAGAAGTGAAACAGACAGAAAACAATTATAGAATCATAGAATCATAGAATAGCCTAACCTGGAAGGGACCTTAGAGATCATTTAATCCATCCTCCCTGTCATGGGCAGGAATGTCCATAAATACCACACACTCCTTTACATTTTTGAAGTTTCCAGTAGTTAGGCCAGCAGGTGGACCCAGCTGTCATCCTGATCACTGTGAGCTTCGCTTCTCTTTCAAAATCTAGTATCCCCTTTCAGGCCAGGGAAGACTTGGAGAGGCAGACAATTAGAGAGGCAGCTGCAAAACTGCAGAAGTCTTTATTATGCCAAAAAGCCTGTCAGGTTCCAGCTTTTTTGAACTTCTGGCACTCCATTAAGGTACATGTAGACACATTGGTTTATTACATCAATAGATTTGGTCTCCACAAATGATCTGCTTGGAAACCTTGTCTGCTACAAGGCCTGCAGTTGAGGACCTGATCTTGTGAAAACAGCCCAAATTCAATGCACTTTTCTGAGTGGAATATTACGCAGCGGCTTGCTGCTAAAGGGAGTCTGTTTTCTGATGTCTCTGGGCAATATAGAATCACAGAATGTTAGGGGTTGGAAGGGCCCTCAGAAGATCATCTAGTGCAGCCCCGCTGCTAGAACAGGATCACCCAGAGCAGGTCACACAGGAACGCGTCCAGGCGGGTTTTGAATGTCTCCAAAGGAGGAGACTCCACAACCTCCTTGTGCAGCCTGTGCCAGGGCGTGAAACAGTGTTTGCGGATATTTTTGTGGAACCTTCTGTTTTCCAGCTTGAACCCATTGCCCCTTGTCCTGTCATCGGATGCCACTGAAAAGAGCCTGGCTCCGTCCTCCTGACACTCCCCTTTGACATATTTGTAAACAATGATGAGGTCACCCCTCAGCCTCCTCTTCTCCAAGCTAAAGAGACCCAGCTCCTTCAGCCTTTCCTCATAAGGGAGATGTTCCACTCCCTTCATCATCTTTGTGGCTCTGCGCTGGACTCAAGCAGTTCCCTGTCCCTCTTGAGCTGAGGGGCCCAGATCTGGACACAATATTGCAGATGTGGCCTCACCAGGGCAGAGTAGAGGGGCAGGAAGACCTCTCTTGACCTTCTAGCTACTCCCCTTCTAATACACCCCAGGGTGAAGAAGCTGTTTTGTATTCCTTTAGCTTGTATCAAATGCCGGTGATGACATGTGCATAAAAATACTTAGTTAAATACTCAAGTATTGAAGCTCTAGCAGGAGATAGCCAAGGGAATTACCTGTATGCAAAAGGACAATTTGAGAGAATATACAGTAATAATCAATGCCAAATCTATCCTTACCATTGATTTAGGCCTTATTAGTTTGGATCAAGATCAAAGACTGTCATCAAAAATAATAAGTTGAAGCACAACAGCTAATTCAACAGGCAGACGCCTCCATCAGAGATGTTTGAAGAAGGTGTTTTGGTCCTCCTGCACTGATTACATGACTTGATGTTTTGGCTCTGGCTAGTTTGCACCATGGTTTTCTTGTAGCACAGACACTGTGCTACAAGAAAACTATCCTGACTATCCAGGACAGCATTAATCAGGTAATTTACTGTATTATGTTTGGAGAGCTCTGTGTTTACACAACCTTTCTGACCTGTTACTATGTTAGGAATTTCATTTGTTTCCTTTACGACTCATTTTAAGATTAGCTTTGGATTCTGGATCTGTTGCTAGTTTTTAAAGTCTCATGTAGCCACTCCCTGTTCTGAGCTTTTGTAACTGGATCAGAACTTCATTTTCTTGGTCTTGCCCTTTTGTTGGTATGTAGTTTAAGGTGCTTTCCCCTTACCCAATGGACCAGGCTTTCCTTGAACTCCGTTCCCCACTTGCCCTGCAGCTTGTTTCTCATCTGTAAAGTGAAGCCAAATGTAGTCGCGTGGTCCCGTAATCTCTTGGAGAACATCTGAGGCAGGTCCAGGTTCACAGATGATGTGTGTCAGAGACTCCACTACAGTGAAATCCCAGGCTTTATTCTTTGTCTTGCTATAGCAGCATATGTATTTAGTAAGAGATCTTAATAACTTTTGCATTAGCCACAGTGCTGGTTATCCCTACTAATGTTTTGCTTGTCTATTAAGCATCTGGTTTGGTACCTCTCTGCAGTTGGCTCTTTAGGGTGGCAAACAGCCTTACAGCTGATAAATCAGCACCTGCTCTCTCATTTTTGGAGTGAAGGTAAAATCACTGTAGATAAATTGTAGGAGAGTTGTCTGTGGACTGATGTCCTTTGTTTTTTATCAGATGCAGTGATGAGAACACACCCTTCCCATGTACCAGATCTCAGAAGAGATGGCTGCGGTGAATTGATGCCACTTGCGCAGTTGCATGGCATTCTCATCCACCTCCTGAGGAACACTGCTGTAAACTGTGAGCAGACTGAGGAAGCAACATGAAGGAGTTACAGCTATCTAAAATTTGTGTATGTGACACTGGTTTGCAAGGGAGGAAGGAACTGAGTGGGACAAAAAGGAATTTGACAATTAGAAGGGAGAAGCAGTTGAAAACAAAGCTGTTCCAAGGTGAGTCTCATCTTCCATTCTAACAGTCTTCACTCTGCTTGGGCTGTGGTTTTACCTGCTCTTCATTCTGCCTGGGCTGTGGTTTTACCTGCATTTACCAGCATATTCCTTAGTTTTCCACAAAGAGTTGCTGATCTTGCACTTGATGCACAAACATACTGATCAAACAGCCCACTACCTTTTGCTGAGTTCCATCAGCTTTTCCTGTTTGAAGACCTGCCCCTGTGCTCTGGTTTGGTTAGTACAGGGACAGGACAACTACCTGCCAGTTCATTGACTTAGAGGTTCAGGAGCCCCACTCTAGGGGCAAATCCAGCATTCAAGCAGTGACAGGGGAGTGGGATGCACTGTGTGGGTGATTCGTGCTTTCACCATCAGCTTACCAATGTGTCAGATGAGTAACAATTTATTGAAAATACAGTCCTCTGGGATCAGCACAGTGGGCTGCCAAAACCAACGCAGGCACTGTGGAAAATGGTAGATGGGAATGGAAAGTGGCCAGAGGCACTATCCAGCTGGACAGCCTTAGCAATCTAGACAATCCAGCTCTGTGAATGAATGGAAGTGAGTAGTTTTCATCCCTCTGACTGGGGTTATTTCTTCACATACTAGTGTGTCACCAACTGATTTCAGGCTGATCAGCAGAACTGCTTCCAGGCTGCATAAATTTAGTATGACTTTTTACTCTTTTTTGTGGCTATCTGTTCTAAGGGGCACCTCTTTATTTCTGGAAAATAACATGGAGACAGCACTGTTCCAGGCAAAGGGGGGGAAGAGTACATGTGCAGATAATCTGCCTGGCATTTAGACAGCAAGAGACCAGAGAAGGTTGTTTAGAGTCTGGCCTAGTAAATGAATTTAATATCTATAAACTCTTGATTGTGAGCTGATTGCTTGCACACCAAGTGTCAGCGTAATTCACTGGTACCAAGATGGATATATGCTGATGGAGGAGCACGACAGAGGGAAACTGGCTTTTTCCTCTCTGCTGGCACCCCCTTTAGTGCTGTGCATGTGGCCACAACCAGGCATTGGGTGGTGGTGCTGGGTTTACTGGGAAGTCTTCTGTCCCCTGAGTGAGAAGGAAATAAGGGGTTAATACTGTCCTCACACATGGGTCAAGATTTTCTAAATCAGCATTAAAAGAATACCAGTTGTGGCTGTGAGGGGAGAAGACAACACATGACTGTGAATTTGCATCCCAGGTCTTGGAAGGCCTTTTGATTCCTGTTGAGACTGAAGTGGTCTGAGGAAGGCTGTGGAACAGGCTGCTGCTGTCTTTTCCTCATGTATTGCAGCTGGGACCGGATTCACATAAAGCCATTACTTCTGAGGGGAACAAAGAGTTAAAGATTTAAAAAGCAAGGATTCTAGGAAATGAAAACAACATGGTTTATAATAAGAAAGTATAAATTAACTAAGGGGAAGAAAATAGCGTGTTGAAACCAGTAAGAAGTGTGCCTGTGGATGCCTGGACAGTTTTACCAACTAGTCAATTAGAGCCAATTATCATCCTTAAATTCCTAGCACCATGTTCAGTATGACTGGAATATGTCCAATTTAGCTTGCGCTGTTTCATAGGTTTACAATTTTCTCTTTGTTTCTGAAAAGATCTAGCTGGAGACACAAGGAAAACGCCAAGTATTAAGTATATAACAATCGTAATTCTTTTAACTGAAACTTCATTTGATTCAGTTGAAAATGACTTCAGTGTATTGAATTTACCGTTCATTTAACAAGTGCTGTAGATGTCAATACATTAGTGTAAACCTGATGCAGGTAGTAATTTTGTTTCTAATGAGACTCCTCAGCAGTATCTGACTATGAAAAATGGAATGTTCTCCAGTGGAGCACAAAGTGCCTCAACCTGATCGCAAGGGCTGTCTGAGGCCCTGCCACTTTGCTTCCTGAGAGCAGAGTGGTGTTATGGGGGAGAGGGGAAGGAGAACCATCCAGCAGGTCTAGGGAGGTTCTTCTCCCCCTCTACTCTGCCCTGGTGAGACCACACCTGGAATACTGTGCCCAGTTTCGGGCTCCCCAATTCAAGATAGACAGGGACCTACTGGAGAGAGTCCAACGGAGAGCTACGAGAACATCTCTCCTATGCAGATAGAATGAGAGAACTGAGGCTGTTTAGTCTTGAAAAAAGAAGGCTGAGAGTGGATCTTATTAATGTATACAAATACCTGAGGAATGGGAGTCAAGAGGAAGGTGCCGGTCTCTTCACAGTGGTGCCCAGTAAAAGACAAGGAATAATCATAGAACAGCCTAGGTTGGAAGGGACCTTAGAGATCATTTAATTCAACCTCCCTGTCATGGCCAGGGATGCCATCTCTCAACTAGACCAGGCAACACATGAGGACCAAGCGGGAATCGAACCCACAACCTTGGCATTGTCAGTGCCACACTCAACCCACTGAGCTAACCGACCCCCTAATATGGGTATAAGCTAGAACATAGGAAGTTTCCCCTCAACATGAGGAGAAACTTCTTTACTGTGAGGGTGACGGAGCACTGGCACAGACTGCCCAGAGAGGTTGTGGAGTTTCCTTCTCTGGAGACATTCAAAACCTCACCTGGATGAGTTCCTGTGTGGCCTGCACTAGGTGATGCTGCTTTGGTGGGGAGGGTTGGACTAGATGATCTCTAGAGGTCCCTTCCAACCCTTAACATTCTGTGATTCTATGATTCTGTTTCTTGCAATGGGCTTTAAAAATGCCTCAAACTATAAAAAGTTAGAAGCATAGATTGGGAAGAGTAAAAGATTTTTCTTCAGAAATTTTGTTTTAATTATAGATTTAAATTACAACTTTATTTTTTATAGTCCTAACTGTGCAGTTGTTTGAGATGCAAAATTTCTAGTGGATTTAATGGAACTGCAGTGCCTGGATTGAGAGAAACCTTTCATTCTCCTTAACTTCCCCACTGTCTTCAAAATATTTCACTGAACATTGAAGGAGCAGTTTTGTTGTATACTCATGGCCTGCAATGCAAGTAGGAGTAGTGCAAAGAGGCCAGGACAGGGAAGACACTGATGTCCCCCTGTCCCATGATACATCTCTCTCTGGGCATGAGACAAGTTCTAGTAAAGAAACTGTGGAAGATGTAAGTGAGGGAGTAATGTGACACAGGGTGTCTAGAGGACTGCGTACTTGTATGGGCGTTTGCTTCATCAGAGAGGTAAGATGTAGTTTTGGAGAGGTGCTTGCCTATGACATGTTGGTGCTTGCCTATGATATGTTTGTTTTCTTAGGCTCTAGGTCTGGGGTGGCTGTGGAGCCCCTCCTCAAGTATCAGTGCTCAGCCTTGCGGCCGTGTCCAAGGAGTTTCCAGAGTTGTGGTGCTCCACGCAGACATCCTTCCAAGTCATACCCTTTCAAGGCAATGTGTGTGGCCAGAAGTGTAGCAGGTCCCACAGTAGCTCTTAGTGGCCTTTTCCCTGTGAGAAAAGCCCTTCTGGGTTGCCAAGCAGCCCACAGGGCCAACAGCCTTCAGTGCAGCTTTGTGTGCAATGAAGTATTTTATATGCTGGAGTCCAGCAGGTAGCTTTTGTTTCAGCATTAAGCTGATTTCACTAGCTTGAGATGTTATCAGTATGAGGGTATTTGGGCACCTGACCCCAGCAGACTGTGTTGGCATGATTAAGGGTACAAAAGATACGTTCAGTCCTACATAAGGCAGCCTTTCATGGTCTCTTGATTCACTTCACGTCTCAGCTGGAAATACAATTCCTTTCTCTGCTCTATACTTCTTAATTTCCTTCCTTTGCTGTTATTTAGCAGCTAAGTGCTACGTGCTGCAGTAGATAATGGAAAAAGCTGTTCAGAATGAAATGGCATGGCATTCTGTGCCCTTTTATAAACTGTATAAAACAAAGATGAACTTCTCTTCTTGTTCCAGACAAGGCACACCTTGATGTGGGGTGTTGGCCCTCATATTTTTCCACTGGATTATGGCTGGCTCCAGACGGCAATGGTTTAGGAGCACGTTTCCCAGCCTGTATGTAGAGATCAGTGCCATGGGGAGTCTCCTTTAAAAATGTCTCTTTGGAGTTTGCTATCTCCAGAGGAAGGGAAAACATGGTAAATTGAATTTGCTTATTGCACAGAGCTGACTCTCAGGTAATGCGAGTGCTCAGTACTGCAGTCTCTGTAAAGACACTGCAGTATGGAAATGCTGCTCTGGATGGGAGCCCTTAAGAAAATTATTCCAGAGGCTTTTAAACCTAATGGTCAAACTCTGGGTAGACCTTTTTCTTCAGAATTTAGATGACTAAAATTTTGGTAAACTTAGTTTTCCTTTGGAGATTAATAAACCTCAACTGAATTCAGGGTGATAGTGTCATTACAAGGACTTAATGAAATTTACTGAGCCTTTCAATTTGTGGTTTTAGATCTGATAAGCCTCCTTAAGAGTGCCCTGGGTTTGTGTTCCTCTGTTTCAGAGAGAATTTATCTTCTTGCCTGTTGCACTGACTTTGAGAGTGTCAGTCAGTAGCTGCACTGTTCTCTGCAATAGGCGATCTCACTTGAGCTCAAACTTTAGGTTTGCAGGGGAGAGTAAGATGCTGGAAAACATGTTTTAAGCAATTGTTCTGTCATAAATATAGAATACGCAAAAGCACAGAACTAATTTGACAGTATACTAAATATTAACATATCAGAACTGCTTAACACCGCTACAATGAAATAGTATTTATAGATTGTATATATAGATCTATTTATTAGCTATTTAATAATATAGGTATTTATAGATTTCCCAAGTCAGAGGAAGCCAACAGTCTGTTTTAACTCTGGCATCTCAGTGGAACAATTGCACTATCTAGATCTACTTCCAAACAAATCAATTAAAACCTCCTGCAAAAGTCACTGGGAGAACATCATCATTACAGGGAGAGGGATGCATATATAAAAATTCTTATGAAAATTGCTGTTTCTGTGCTTAATGCCATTAGCAGCTACTAGTGACATTTAGTGCCAGAATGTGATTCAGTTAGGCAAGAAGGTCTATGTCTGCATTCATTTGAGATTTATCGTTCTCGCTGATGGAAACCATTGTAAGCTGCTAAAAAGAACATCTCACTATTGTCTTTGTCTTAAGCTGGGAGAAGGTATAGGCCAGGTTCTGATTGGTCATGTTACTAAAACTCAGGTGTTGGTGGGCAGGACTTTGCTAGTGAAGTTTACCAATTCTTCACTTTTCACCAACTTCTGTTCCTAACAAATGTTTTATTGCCTTTTCTTCAGAAGGTGGCTTAGACTTATGGGTTTTTTTAATCCTCTTTCTTCTGTTACTTCCTCTTCTCCTCTCTCTTCTCCTCTCTCTTCTCCTCTCTCTTCTCCTCTCTCTTCTCCTCTCTCTTCTCCTCTCTCTTCTCCTCTCTCTTCTCCTCTCTCTTCTCCTTTTTTCTTTCCTAGTTTTTGGAAATGACAGACAAATTTTAGTGATTGTATTTGATTGGTTTTCTTGTGGCATCCTGATGCAACTGAAGAGAGGACTTGTGTGCTTCTGTGCATTCTCTTTTCTCCAGGAAAAAATTCTTCCCAAAATTTGCATGCAAGTTGTGCTTGTTAGTTTTATTATCTCATTCTGTATATTCATGTTTAATGAATCCAGATGTAGTCAGTACTATGGACAGCTAAATTAAAACAGCTAAATTAAAATAAGAAAACCTTACCTGTTGGAGCTTCAAAAGCCAGAGTTCTCAGCACCTTTCTCAACTCATCTCTCCTCCCCGAGATGGAAGGAGCCAAAGCCCTGCAAGAGGACTGCTTTGCCTACCTGAGTAATAGTTTCCTTCAGGATTTGCAGCAACAAACACCTTTCTACCATCAATGTGCGGTATTGGTATCACCACCAGATAACAGTAACACCTACACAAAGTCTTGTAGCAACCAGGACCTCTGCCTCTGATTTTGTGCCCTCATACCTTTTTTCCGAGTTTGAGTGTGCGGTACTGCAAAGATACGTCACAGCAGAAGCTTCAGCACAGTCATCTCCTAATGGTCTAAAATCAAGAAGGAGGTCAAAACAGTCACAGAATTACAATACGTAAATGCAGGTGAAGTTATTTTTGTCCTCATCTTTCTGCTTTTGCAATTCCTCTTTTCCAGGCTTTTAGGAAGCTACAAATGAGTTAATTTTCTTTTATTCATCTGCTTTAATAACAGTGTGGGTCTGACACAATCTCAAGTTTTTAAGCACTGGGAATTTGGAATAAAGAGCTTTGTTGTTCGTATCTGAGAGATGGCAATATTGCTTCTTCCCTCCTGGTCCCTTTTATCATGCAGCTTGACAGAAATATTTTGTTTATTATTTAAAAAAATGTATTTGTTAAAAGTTAATTTTTTTTTTTCATGTAAAGCTCATCCATCCTAGTGTTACATTAGCAATTCTACTTTGTTCTTCTGTGAAGCAAGTTTCGGTTTACAGGTACATCTGCTTTCCATTCCATGGCTTAAAGAATGTCATCAGTAAAATCTTAAAACCTACTTAATGAAGCCTTTTAAATGCTCATCCTGCACTTTTGAGTGAAGTGCAATTTATATTTCATAAAAGTAGAAGCTGAGCTGCAAGCTGTAAGTAATTATCATATAATTAAATATCTACCATGAAAGAAGTGAAAACTCAGGCTTCTTGGGAAGATTCTGCATCTGCTTTATGCAGTCACAAATTAGATTACATTTCTTTACCTTATGAATGTTCTGGAGATACATTAGCCCAGTTGGGAGATGCACCTCTGAGACTGCTAAGCTGCTTTGAAAGGGGAAGGGAGTTGATCAAACCAGTAAATTCCATGGGTTGAGAAGAACACGTAAATATCCATGGGTTCTGCAAATGTGACTATGTTTTTCTTGTCTGGAAACATTTGCAGCTAATAGTGAAGAAATCAACCCCTATGTGAGCAGTAGCTTAAGTGAACTACTGTGGGATTAGATCACTGACTGACATGTGGGTTCCATTGGACATGATCTTTCTCTGCAGGAGCAGAAAACATTCTCAGTTTGTTAGGAATGGCATGGAGAATGTTGGATACCAGGAAATCTGGGCAGAGAGTCAGAATTCCAACTCTTCATATATTCAGGCTTTCTCCATGTTCAGCTAGGAATCTCCTTCCATTAGACACCCGAATTAATGGGTGGTGCATTTGCTGGAGCTTTCAGGGAGGAACCTCAGCTCTGGATGGGAACGCTTCCTTTTGTTTCGCAGGAGACGAACTCTACTTCTGTTAATAATTATTCAAATGATGGCATTCAGTGAAGAACATTTTGTGGCAAGAAAGGAGATGAAGTAGTAGCATGTCAACATGCGCACTTTTTGTTCTTGCTACTCATGTTGTTGGCATTTAAGGGCTGGAGGGATGTACCTGGTTCAGTTTTACCTCAGCGTGGGAAAAGGACCTGATGCAATAATAGTCTTTTATGGGTTTATG